ACTCATACAGAGTATACAACAGTTTAATACATTTATTATTATAAAACTTATAACCAGTACTAGATGTTCTAATAACGATATGGAACACTTTAATAACAGTTATTGCTATTATTTCGTAAAGGGTATAAAAAACGTTGTATACTAGTTATACAATAATTTAATAAAGAATAAGGTTTATAGTCACTATACAACTGTGCTAGCAATACGCGTTTTATATCCAATATTCACCTGTTTAACTGTCACATATAGTATACAATGGTCTTATAATGGCATATAGAATTCTAATAAAGAATAAAACGCATTTCTTTCAGTGTACAGACCATTTTTTTATGTAGCTGTGCTATGAATACGGGATTACAGTATGATTACTGTTATAGAAACTAAGCACAACATGATGAGAGAATGAAGCGAATAAGAAAATTCGGAATAACTACTTTTCTAAAATAATTCTAATTTAAACTTAATTCTCCAAGCCGAGGTTGCTGTCTAATGAAATCCAGGCTGAAATAGGAGGAAATAAATTAAAATGCAACGTAAAGATACTAATAAGGCAGGATTACGGTCTCTTTATTGGATATTTATAAGAGGCATCAGAAGTCGAATCAGAACGACAAATTTTATGAAAATTTATTACAATAATGAAAATGTAAGGCAAGGTGTCTGTTGTGTAATATCCTTTGCGGTACCATTTTAGACCTCGACTTGTCTAAGTTAAAAATACATAATCTAATATTATATTATCACTGCTGAATAGCAGACTAGCTACAGGGTGCTTTAAGAAAACTGCGACAATATGGGATAGTCCCAGAAATGTAAAATAGCTTACATTTTTTTCTAAAAGAGCCAAGAGTCAACAAATTTGGTGTCTTTTTAAAAAGCAACTTTCATAAAGAATACTACTGATTAAAATCATATTTAGTGGAACGCATTTATAGAAAAATTTATCACTTAAATGATGTTTGCTAGAGCATGTCTCTTTCATCCAAATATAAGACGTTAAAATTATATTTTTAAAAGATATTTGGTAAGGTAAATTTTGTAAGGGTGTATTGAAACACTCTGTGTTGCTTATTAAAAGAAATAATAAACAACCTTTTACAACAGTATACGCATACTAAAGATTATTCAAAGGAGTCGAGGTATTATTCCGAAGTAAACACTTTGCTCGCTGTAACAAGCACGACTACTTTATTACACACCAAAAATATATTTTCACCAACCTTCCAAAGAAAGTTTGTTTATTCAGTTGATTGTGAGAAATTCCAGCTTTGCTGTATGAAGTGACACTCGTGAATATTTTTTTATGCCGCCATATATAACCGAGTGTTTATTTTATGCAAATACAGTTTTAAATTAACCTTGAGCGTCAGCTTCGCACGTTCAAAATACAATACGATCCTAGTTCAAATCGCGGTGTTAACAATGCGTTAACAAGTATGCGAGAATCTGAAAAACAAATATCCAGGTATTTTCCTAATTACACTTCATTATAGTGAAGTGTATACAAAACACATAAAAAACTAAATGTAGGCTACATCTGGCTATATATGGTCATGAGAAATTAACGATTTCGTGTATTATATTAAAAATTCAGTGAGAAGACAGCATTTGTCATATGCGTTACATAACTACGCTAAATATACACTCACAGGAGGCGCAGATGTTTATTTTGGTATATTTTAATAAATCTATGACTTTCGGAAAGAAAGATGCCTCTTATTTACAGTAACAGTTAATTTTACAAGTAGTATATTGTATATACATTTATTATTTATTACTGATTTTAATGCATAAAATAGAAAAATAGAAGGCCAGATAGGAGCACATGTCTGAGAGAATATGGGGCCTGTCACCACAAGTACCCAGACAACATTGGTTGAAAATTCAAATTTTCGCCCATGTTTCCAATCAAACCTCTGAAACTGTTCAGGGAGTCGCAAACTACTCTAAACGCACCAGGGCAGACGATATCCAAGGAGCTCGATGTTGGTAGATCGACGCATAAGACTGGGCGCCCGAAAAAGCGACTCGATTTCGAATTTTTCGAGAAACGCCAGGAATGCTACGAAATTCGAGGTGGGACATGAAATCAAGCGTCTTAAATAAATCTAATATTTCAGCTAAATTCCATAACAGGTGGAGGCGACCCTAAAGAGGCTGGATGACGGAAAGCTCACAGGAGATCGACTTCAGAACTTGGCGGAGCAAAGCAGGTTCGAATATTGAATCTGGTTTTCTTCGGATAAGTAACCAGGACCAAGTTCCTGCCCAGTACCCATGTACTATCCCAAGCTTTCATTAGTATTGTATAAAAAGCGTTTAACTGCGCATTCTAATGCTACAAATTGTTGTGAATTCAAGCTCAGACCTAAATCATTAATCCCATATCGTTCAAGATTAACTACGGAGCTGTAATGGATACAACGATGCTCTTTAGCCTAAAACAAAGTGCTCTTTAGCCAAATCCAAAATCAATCAAAGCACAACATTGCTAAAAACAAAACAGTGGGAAAAGGTTCAGTTGAAAACCTTAATGCAAAGTGCCACCGTGTCTTCTCCTGAGAACATTAGGTTAATTCCAAGCTCCGATGACTTAGAGAGAGCCTCAATGGAAAAAGTCCTACCAGCGAGAGACTTAAACATTCGCCCAATCCACGATAAGTCTGGTGCGTTGGAGGATTATATGGTAAAGCCATTTCCTTGGGGTCAAAGAGCTTCTGAGAGAATGGCCAAAAGAGAAAACACGATACAACAATATCTATACTAATTATTTCTGTCAAATAATCTACCATATTGAGGAACTCCTGTCATCATTATAATCCCCAAAATTATCGAGGACATTTAAAGCAGCAGCATCTAAAAAACCGGTATACCATTTAAGGCTATGACTCATTACGGTTAGTGGCTATAAGTACTCATGGAAAAATAGCTCAGTTTTGGCTTTTGGACAAACAATATTTAGTCCATTCATTCCAAATAAAAAATCTCTTTTGTTAACAGGTTTTAACTAAAAACAATGATCAAAGTACTTATTAAACAACCTTTAGTTTTTACCCAAGGCTTATTTTTCATCCATAACAAACACATCTTTGAGATGTGTGAAGATTCATGAACATCTAGAATCTAAAAGCAAAGTGTTAATTCAAATTAAAAGTTGACTACTATTGATTTACTGAATAGTCTTCTAACCTGTGCATGTGTGAGATGGTGTAAATTATTGTAATGTAGTAATTCACGATGATCCATGTCAATCAACCCAGGAAGTGGCCAGTATATACCAGTGGAACCAGTCATAAGAAATTTCTATTAAGGGGTTTGTTCAAGTTCAAAAACTATGTGTATGGGTGCTGCATGTTGTGAGCGAAAGCGACAAAAATCAGCGTGTCAACGTTTTGTATCTCTGCTGGCTTCTCATCGTTACTCATCAACAACGTCGACCACTTTCGAACCAGATTCTTAATTGTGACGAAATATGGCGCCTTTAAGTCAACGCCAAAAACAAAAAAGCAAAACAATGCTCTAACCAAAAGCTGGTACCCATTCGCATATAAGCTGATGTACATCTGGTGGGACAAAGAAGGCTTCTTTTATTCCGAGGAATACAATCATCACTACGTCGAAATTTTTTCTACTCTTCCGCTTACTATCGAACAATCTTCGAAGAATAGGGACGGCGCGTTCCACAATTGACGTGGAATAGTCTGCGTATTTTGTTTATTCAATCATGCATTTTGTTTATTAAAAAGAAGTAAATTTCAATTCAATAAAAAACTTATTCACGAACCCAACTAACAGAAATATTGAAAAAGGCATCAGCAGGACACGTAAAATCAAGGAAAAGGAAGAACCTGTATGTGTGACAAAGTATATAAGTATTCAGGGTTAGTCAAAAGTATGAAAAATGCTTTCCCGCTGAGATTTTTGGGACAAATTGTGAGCACAAAAGTCGCAACATTTTTCACGGCGCATCCGATTTGACCTTGAGATCAAGGTCAAGTTTCAAGGTCACATCAAAATCAAGTCGGTTTTTTAAATGGCGACCCTCCTTTTCATGACATTGACCCTGACCTCAAGGTCAATGATCAAAGTCAGTTCAAGGTCAAATGTTCATTTACTGTAATTTTTTATTTTTAACTACGGAATCAGGAGTGACAGTCTTAGAGTAATATGGTACTCCTTAGTGACCTTGATATTGAGGTTAAGGTCGAAAGGACCTGACAAGGTCATATCGCTCTTTGGAGTAGCGACCCCTTATTTCGACGCTAGAATTAAGGGAGTGTAAACTATACATGTTATTATGATCTTAAACGTGACTTTAAGATAAATGGTCAAGGTCAGGTAGAGGTCAAGTGATTATTCCCGCTGTCATTTTTTATTTTCGACGATGGAATAGAAGGGACTCACAACTTTTTAGTGATAATCTGCAAAGCATTTTAGGTTTACTAAACATTTTAAAATGCTGCTCGCATTAGAAGGAACCATCGAATTTTTCGTAGCAAAATCTTAAAAAAAAGAACACTCACCTGAGGTTTACTGACTTGCGGTATCGGCGCCCTCACCCTTTTATCCAGTAGCAAGTCGCTGGGACACCTCTCGAAAATCAACACCCTCTCCGCCACCGATCCCCGCGTCAGGAAAGGCCTCACTGGGTTCGACGCCGCGTGCCTCAGGTGCTGTCTTTGGCTCGTCGTCAACTCCGGATGGGGTACCTGCTGCTCCGGCCTCCTGGGGGTGCTCCTCAGCCCCCACTTCGTCGACACTTCCGGTTTCTCCGTCTCTTTGAGCGCCGGTTCCTTTATTATCTGCTCCTTCATTATCTGTTTCGATGCTAAAACTATAGGCGGTTCCTCGTTGACTATGTCACCGTTCTTGAGCGCGTTGATGAGCCGTTTCTCCTCCAGGGCCACCTGGTCGATGGTGACGGAGGAGGTTTTGGGGGATGGAGGTGCGTAGTGGTGGTTGTCCCGCACCTCCCCCGTGGATTTTTTCACGGCGTCCGTGGATATGACGCGGTTTTTGAGCGGCCACGTTTGAAGACCCGTCGTGGTGATGTCCGGTGGCAGGGTCATCTCTATCGTGTCCATGCGGGGCTTGGGGGAGATTTGGGGCTTCTGGCCTATGGTGGGTTTTACCGGCTGGGGCTGGAACAAAGAACTATGTTATAGAAATACGCAGAAAATGATTATGACAAAACGCAATAATCATATCACCACAAAGATTAAAATAATGGAGTCATATCATTTAAATAGGTATAATAAGACGGAAAAAAGGAAAGTATGACTGACATAAAATGCCGATAATAAAGAAAGTGATTTCTCAGTCAATTCTTATACAGGGTGTTAAAAAAAGAGTGTAAAATATGTAAAGAGGTAATAGTATGAACCAAAATAAGCAGAAAAGTCCCAATAAACATGGGTCCGCAAAGTAACGGTTGCGGAGATATGGAATATTTTATGTTTTTTAGCCCGTTTTTTTATTTTGCAAAAACTTCCAAAACAGACATGCATTTCATGTATGGTCGTGCTAATGGGAACGCCACCGAAGCGCGACGTCTTTATGTTGACGCTTATCCAAATCGCCAGATTCCTTCACAACGCATGTTTGGAAGAATTCACCAAAGATTGCGTGATATCGGTTCCTTGAGAAAACAGTGCCATTTATCCGGAAGACCAAGGTCGGTATCCACTCCTAGAGCAGAAGAAGAAATTCTAGCACTGGTAGAGCAGAATCCAGGTACGAGTGTGCGGAGAATATCAGCCGAGGTAGGAATTAGTGGTCCTCTTGTTTGGAGAATCCTTCACGAGCAACTGCTTTATCCATACCATGTGCAACGAGTACAGGCCTTAAATCCAATAAATGATCATCAAGCACGTTTGGTTTTTTGCCGCTGGTTTCTACGTCATGATGCTGAAGACCCTCGTTTTCTTGCAAACATTCTTTTTACTGATGAGGCCGGGTTCACAAGAAATGGAGTGTTTAATTTTCACAATACGCATATTTGGGCCGACGAAAATCCTCATGCTCTAATAGAATCTGGACATCAGGCACGTTTTTCATTAAACATTTGGATGGGTATTGTAGGTGACAGGTTTCTAGGTCCTGTTGTTTTACCAAACCGATTAACAGGCGCTGCTTACCTCAACTTTCTGCAGAACACACTGTATGAGTTTTTGGAAGACATTCCTTTGAATCAGAGGCAACAAATGTGGTTCCAGCATGATGGTGCTCCAGCTCATTTTTCCATGGCCGTTAGAGAGCATTTACACCAAACTTTTCCACATAGATGGGTAGGAAGGGCCGGACCTGTTTTATGGCCTCCAAGATCGCCTGATCTGAACCCTCTAGATTTCTTTGTTTGGGGATATTTGAAGACATTAGTGTATGGTACTCCTGTAAATAGCCTGGAAGAGCTGCAGCTACGGATTAATCAAAAGTGTCAAGAAATCCAAACCAAGGAGGGTGTTTTCGAAAGAGTTCGAATATCGTTGAGACGAAGATGTCGTGCCTGCTTGGAAATGGACGGAGGGTACTTTGAACATCTTCTGTAACTTTGTTTTTTGTTTGTTAAAAGCTTCCTTTGTCGGTTTATTCCTAATAAAATAAAATGTTTGAAAAACGAATAGTGGTCCATATATCCGCAACCGTTACTTTGCGGACCCATGTTTATTAAGACTTTTCTCCTTATTTTGGTTCATACTATTACCTCCTGAAATATTTTACACTCTTTTTTTAACACCCTGTATAACAAAAATATTTTTGCTATATAACATTAAAAAGAAAAGATAATTTATTCAAATTTAATACACTAGAAAGCTTCATTTATGAATTATCAAATAACTTTTTATATCGCAATGGTAACTGCGTATTAATCGAGAAAAAATATTAAGCCACTGTTTTTTTTTTCAAGCTTTACGTAAATTCCTAAGGTTGTATTAAAAAGCTGAATCAAAATTTTTTGATTCTGAACCGCCATTTTTTAGCTAATTGCAAAATAAATCATGAAAGGAAAATTCTTACATTTATTGAAGAGTAAATATTCGAAGGACTAATAATTTCATTCGTATCTTTGGAAGGGTGGTTCTACATATCACAATATGATAGAGAAAGCTCTAAAATTTAAGAATGGTATTTATCTGTTATTTATTTATCTTTTTAGAAATACAATACTCAGCGGGACAAACTTCCAATTACAGGATATGGTGAAATAGAAAAACTTAACTAAATTAAAAACGAGGCATCTTATATTGAGTCGAATTGGTGGAAGAAGTGTAATTTGACAAAAATAATCATATAAAGTATATAACTACAAAATATATAGTCCAGTCACTAAAGCATTTTGGCTACCAATTTTTTCGGATGGTATGGATTAACGTGAAATTTGAACTGTAGCTAGGGAATAGCCCAAGGAATTTTTTCTATTAAAAATAACCTCACGATCCGATAGACGGACGAATTCTAAATTTCAAAAAATGTTCTATAAGAATTTTTTGTAGTCAATACTTTTTGAGTTATTTGGGCCTAAACATGTTCGTTTTTAGCCCAAAAATACATGTTTTTGATTGACACTTTAAGCTCTGTGATTTGCAGTTTTTTTGAGCTTTCGTTTTTTTATATTTTTAAGCTAAAAGTGCTCAGGAAAGGCAGTCTTGGAGCTTAGTTTTCAGCTTTTAACGGTCATAACTTGTCCTACAAAAATTTTAAAAAAAGCAAATTGTTCAATAAGAAAAAACCTACAATTTCTTATTCTATCATTTTTTTATAACTTTATTAGTTTTTGAAATATTTTGAATTTTTTTTTTTTAAATGAAAAACGTCAATCATTTTATTTTGATTGTAACTTCATTAGTTTTCATGCTAACGACTTTTACCACAATTCAATTTAAAGGTCTTTTCAAGAACTTTAATAAGTGTTGTATATGTTTTCCACGAAAAACCTTTAATTTTTCCGCTACAGGACGTTGAACGTTTCGATTATAGCTATCTTCGAAATTAACTTCAACTTCTGGGAGTCATAACTCGGGTTCTATACCACCTACAAAAATTAAAAAAGCAATCTCTTTGCTATTTAATTACCTTCATTTTTGCTTATGATCATTTTTTTGATAAAACCTGTAGTTTTTGAGATATTCGCGAAAAATGGTTCAAAAACATGCATATTTTGGGCTAAAAACGAACATGTTTAGGCGCAAATTACTCAAAACTTATTGACTGTACAAAAAATTCTTATATAACATTTTTTGCTTAGAATTCGTCCCTCTATTGAACCTTGAGGTTATTTTTAATAAAAAAAATCCCACCCTCCAGAAGGAGTGGCATCCACCCCTAGGGTAAAAGCAGACATCTAGACAATATAACTTTTCAAGTGGGGGTCAGATGAGCTTGTAAATTTTCAGGAAAATCCATGCTATTCGAAAAAATTGGGAGCATTTACCTTATTTTCGCCTTCAGTGACTGGACTAATAAGAATTATTTAGAATCGGAGCTTAATCACCATGACTATTTTCTTCAATAGTTGTAGTTACACAAGCTTCATCAAAGAGGAAGGTTAATATTTCAACCGGTTTAAGATTTTGAATTTGTAACGGGCATGTGACAAATAGTAAATAATTGCCGCTATATGAGAACAACAACCCTCAACGAGTTTGATGAATTTTCCAGAACTCAGTGAAAATGATCTCAAAAAGACATATTAATAAAAAAACATATAATTGCTATAATGAGTATAAACCAAACCTAAATAGCTATAATGGTATTCAAAGATATGCGTGTAGGGTTTCTGATTTCTCGGCCTACTTTTTTTCTCGGGACTCGAGAATTCTCGACTAGGAATTCCCGGGAATTCTCGAATTCTCGAGAAATTTCTAAAACTTAAAAAAGTCATAATTTTGGTATTGCAATGCGAAATATAAACATGCTATTATACTTAACAATCATCATTAACATTTATTATTTATTCAGTATTGTTATTAATTTTATGTTTCTACTTCTACTAACAAAACTAAATTAAACTTTGAATATCTTCTCCTTGAAAACCTTTGACTTGTTTTTTTTTTTTAACCCTTTCAATATACTTATGTTTATTTCAATGTTTTTGAATCGTAGCTTTCTTCCAATAATTATTAACAATCATTAATTAAAAGACTGCATCTTTTAATTAAACAAACAGTAGATAACTAATTTAACCGAAGGAATAAAAAAACAAGCTTTAATTTAAAGATAAAGAAGCGTTCTTGCTATTAATTTATCAATTATAGTCACAATCTTTTAATGAACAAACCAAAAATAAAATAATCAACTAAAGGAACAGGAACTAAATATTTTCAGAATCAACAACAACATTAGGTATCTGCTTATAATAAAATTTCTACACAGACTTATAACTAGGTAGGTACATTAAAAAAATAAGAATCATCAAAGTCAACTAAAGCCTTAAAAACTTAATAAATAAATCATGAGCTAGTCGAGAAACCGCTTTAACCGCTCAGTTATTTGTCGAGAAACGAATTGAACGCATGAACGAAACGAACTCCAGTCAAGAACTTAAGACGCGCGTGATTATTAAATTTCTCGATTTCTCGACACTTTTTTCTCGTCTCGAGTAAGGCCAGATTTCCCGGGAATTCTCGCTTCGAGAAGTCTCGACCAGAAACCCTATATGCGTGTGATTGTGCAAACGGAAATAGAATCGTGGGTTGTTTATCCCATATAGTGGCGGTTATTTACTATTTGTCACATGCCCGTTAAAAATCCAAAATTTTAAAACCAGCTAAAATATTGACCTATATGATTATTTCTGTCAAATTATACTATAATACGGATTATATTTTTTTAACTGTTCCTCCAATTCGACTCTTCTGTAATTTTCATATATAATAGCTAACTAATAAATGAATAACCTGCATTTGAGTGGTTGGTATAAAAATATCACTATCCCACAAATATAATTCTCGTTTTCGGCCGTTTTAAATCGAGCGAAAATTCTGAAAAAAATCTGTAATATGCAATTCGTAGACATTTATAAATAGTTTCAACCTTATTAAGATATCTAGAGTAGGTAGTTTAGAAAAAAATTAAATTTAACGTTAAGGGTTGCCACCCCCATTATTCCCTAATTAACGGGGGTAGAAGTCTGAAATTAAGT